ACTGCTGTGAGGAAGAGGAATAAACTGCCTCCTCTCTTATCAGTGACACCCATAAACCATAATAGGCCTTACACACTCAATTTAACAAACCACTTGTGTTTTGTTTATACTGTAAATATAGAAAATCATAAAATATGAAGCATTTTCATTGTGGGTTATACAAGAATATAATTGATTATATTTGATTATAATTAACTTTCGTTTTAAGTATTCAACCTAATATGGAGATCTAAACAATGTACAGACACAGGCAATAAGACTATTAAACACCTGAACTTGAAACAACATCATAACATTAATCTGGCTGCTACTTAGGAATTATTTATCTAATATATCATTCCAATCACTTGCACTATTTCACTATTTCACTTTTTTACTATCTTGCCTTTTGTATATACTATTTGTGAAGTAAAAACTTCTTTGCAGCAATGTTGAGCGCATCATCAAATGAGGGAAACTGGATTCGCCTGTCAATACACTGATATTTATTGAGAGCCTGAACGGCCGGAGAGTTCACAGCATATCACAGTTCTCATGTAAGATCCCAGCAAACTCTGCCCCAAAAGCGCCAAGCACCCATCTATACATGGAGAAGAGGAGGGCCCTAAAACACGCGAGTTTTCCTTTAATGCATGCCAGATGTCGAGACAAAGACTCGTTGCATTGTAAACCCACATGAGCCAAGCTTCTCCCCCACAAGACATCAGATGACCTCTTGACCTGTGTCTTCCTGAGAAGCTATGGATCACATTACAGGCAGGAATACACTTTAACCATTAAACAGATTCCCGAGGACAAATCACTAAACTCTATATACTTTAACAAGACCAAAATATTCCTTTACAGATCCACCCTTTTATCAATTTATGATAATCAATTAACATTAGTCTAAAGAATATTTCAGTCAATACTTAAGTCAATAAGCGTCTTCAGAGTTGTGTGGGCTCACTCACATTAATTACATCAAAAGTAGAACAAGATTGAAAACACTTCAATCACCATGACAAGATACAATCAATCATAATAAAATCATCTCTCTTCAGTGTTTGGCATCATTTGTCAAAAAGCACAATAATAAACACGTGAAATACAACAATATTATAGCAAAATATATGTTTCAAGAATAAGATATTTTATCATTTATCCCTCAGTTAATCTCATTCATCAAACACAAATTCTAAATCAGCTTACATCTCAAAGATTTACTTCAAGGCAATTACTTATTAAAACACAATTAGAATTTAGGATTTATAATAAATCCAATTGAGGTATAAATCAGACTTCAACTATCAATCATTATGTCATCTCAAAATCTGAAGGGAAAACTGAACAATTCTCAAAATGTTTAACAATCTGAAGAATCAAACATTTTATTGTATAACGACCTGAAAAGGAAAAAATCAAAACATCTGTTCTTTATTCAGAGCATCAACTGTAATCAATATCAAAACATCTGTTCTTTATTCAGAGCATCAACTGTAATCAATATCAAAACATCTGTTCTTCCTGGTAATGATTAAGGATAGTAACATTGTCTGTTATAATATTAGAAATATCTTATTGTTCAATACCTTATAAATCTGAAAATATCAATTAATTAATTAGTTTAGTGTGAAAGTGTAATCTGATAAAATATATTTATCACCACTATTTAACACATATCTGTTCATTGGGAATACAAAAACAATCATTAATTGTACATCTGTAATCATCTGGTCATTCAATTCAAATGTTATCTTTGTACGAGAGCTAGAAGACATGTTTTCCTCCTCTCTTTATGACACAGAATGTCTGGTGTGTAAAGGCATCCTGATACTGTAGATTAGCACTGAGGTGCTGATTGGCTCAAAACTCTTCTTCATCAGAGCGCCATAACTCAATTATCTGTAGATTAGCACTGAGGTGCTGATTGGCTCAAAACTCTTCTTCATCAGAGCGCCATATCTCAATCCCCCCCAATTGCTCTGCTTTTGTGGCTCAATTCAGTGAGCACTTTATGATCTCCCAGTGAAACAGAGGCTCATCTGCCTGCATTCCTTCTGCTATCTGCATGAGAGCAGTGCACCTGCCTATGCCAAGTGGCACATCCAGATGCCCCCCCCTGTGATGGGAGAGGTTATGAAAACATCTGCTCCTCCAAGAAACATGGAACCTTGTATGAAGCCTCTGAAGCCATCGCTCGTCCTGCAGAGTTGTCTGCCTGAGCCCAACGAGCAGAAAGATGAAGAAGCATCCCATCTCATCAGAAAGTTGAAGATTAGAATCCTCTCATCTCGAACGACCTCCTTGCCCGTGGATAAGTTGCTCTCTGCAGCCGCAGAGTGTGATCCTCTCTCTCTGACCCTTGGCCTTCAGAGCTCTCCTAGTTATTGGGTTAACACTTGATAGGGATGTTTTCCTGAGTGCAGACAACTCAAGGTAATGGATTAGCACATTATCATTCAATTACAAAAATAGGATAGGCCCCCTCAGAATGATTTGGGAGCCTTCCTGAGACATGCACATTATAAATGTAAGGTTTGTGTTAGTCATTTAACATGCAAGAATCATATACTCATCAGTCCAAAGCAGAGAAATGTTATTTTAAGTTAAATGTGAGCTAGTCCCTGTGGAATAACCCTTTCTCAATGATTCTAAATGTTATATTAATTCACCATTTACCGTTTGATCAAGGATTAGTTTATCAGAAGTACATTTCCTCTTCCATAAAACATAGGTTTGAGAAATGAATGTTCCAATATGAAATCAATTGCTCAATTTCTCAATATAATTTGACTCTTCCCTCCCTTTTCTTACATATTGTCACATATGAAATAATAACTTAGGAGTCTATTTAAGCATGGTATTGTCTATATAAGCTATTAATCGAGAAAAACTCAGAGTGAGTATGCAACTCGCAAATATCTCTCCTCCTTCCTATCCCTCTTACTCACTTTCCCATCTCTTTCTCTCTTATTTCTGTTAGATATGAAGGAAAAACATACACGTCCATGTAAGCATATGAGTTACACCACCGTTACCAAACGGTGTGCCGTGAGGCAAGTCCGGGTGTGCCGTGGGATTTTGTGACAACCATACATTATTTTTTCAATATACAACTATACAAAAAGAATCATTTATTTTTTTAATTTACTATATCAGTACTTTGTAGGTTTATGTACGTAATCTGCGCGACTTGCGCGTCCACATCTCCACGTGCAGTGCTGCATAAAACATGGCTGAGTCAGCGATAACTATCGAGGGGTGGAGGTATGCCCATTATTTTTATATCACGCAGTCTATTCTTCTTCTCTGTCTTCCGGTTGTTGCCTGTATTAAATGACAAATACACACTACCGCCATGGATTTGATATGAACGAGGCGGCAGTTAGCAGCTAGCGGCTAGCTAGTAATGATCTAGTGATATCGGTAATATTAACTCCATTTAATACAACATTTACGGTACAAGATTCAATCATACAGCCCATGTAGTATGACAATGAATTACAGCAAACATGTGCAATATATCCATTATTACAGCTCCGTGGGATGGCAGTAAGACGATATGGATCCGTTCCCATTGTGCATCCATGGGTAAAGATAAACGCAACTCACATTGGTTCCTCATACACAGTGGCGTTTTTATATGTACAAAAGTGGTGGGGCACACAAAACTTAGATGTCTATATATAAGCTTCTGAGGTTCATGGTTGGTGAGGCACTGGCTCTGACTCTTCAGGTTTACAAATATTATATTTTGACCTAAATCAAAATATAATATTATTTTCAAAAGCTTTTTTTGTCTGATGCTTCAATTAATTTTAAACAGACAGTTCAACAAAAGGATACCCAAAAAATGTAATTGTATCATTTAAATATTGAATTGTTCTCTCTTAGTAAGATCCCATTTTCAATAAAATTGCAGTCTTACCTTGACATGAAGATGAAGTCCATTTGCCTATCCTTCTGGACAAAAATCTCTATTACTTTTTTTGTAAAAGTCCTCCTTATGTTCTTGTAGTTTCAAAAGTCTATCATAAATCTGATCTAATCAATAGATTTATGATTCGAAAATTATAAAAGTAGGGTAGACATGTGGATATTATCCGGCTGAACAAAACGTGCATTTATCTAACAGGTTTGTTTCCCACAGATCTTATTTGGAGCTATTTTCTAAAATCCTATGGAGAAATATCATTGCTTTTTTGTGGAGGGAAGCCATGCGCAGTTTATTTCCGGGTTTTAGGACGCCTCACTGCCGCTCTCTCTCCTCCTCTTCACACACCACACTTTTCGCGGCACACGTACTTACAGCCAATCAGCTCTGAATTATGTGAGATGACGTATGGTGGGGATGGCAGCTCTATGCCCCTATGGTCATTATTTTTTTGCCACACACATTAAATAGGACAATACTCTGAGCATGCGCAGTGTAGTTTTTACAGTCACCATTGACTTAAACAGGGAGAGGGAGGGGCAGGATCGGGTTTTGTCCCACATGGCTCTAAACAGCTCAATAGGCACACACTGTAGACACTAATTAGAAGAACACAGACTAAACAGCAATGTACAGACGAATCAGATGAATAAACATGATCTTAAAATATATTTTATATTTTTTTTAATTTATTTTTTGCATTTTTTTGGTAATCATTACTTTTAATTACTTTCTGCTGACACTAGGTGGGGCTGTGCCCCACCTGCCCCTAATGACCAGTCGCCACTGCTCATACAGCATCTCTGTAAACTACGTGTATTCACTGAATTTCACTCTCTGCCTTTAACGCTCGTTGTAGCTCCAAAAGCTCCAGCCAGAGCCTGGCTCCAGCACCCTCCCTGTGAGCACAGTGTGCTCTGATTGGTCGGGGACACGTAACAATGAACGTGCCGGGCTGCGCGGTCCCGTGGATTAGATGCGCGTTCATAATGCAGAGGGAAATAACTCTCAGAATAACGTTATTAGCAAATGTTTTACAACTTGAGGAACGAATGTTTTTTTAATAAGGGCTATACAAGTGTTCATACTGGGTAGTTTATTTAGTTTACTTGCACTATTCTTTTCTGTTGATCTGTTTTACTGTGTTGCACTGTTGGAGGAGCCTGTGACCTAAGATGTTCATCGTCATAACTACACTGTAGCTATGCACGTATGATTAATAAAAGCCTTGAACCTTGAGACAGGTGAGGTATGTTAAAGTGACAGTATGAAGTCAGACTGCCAGACACCATTTTACACCTGGACGGAGCAGGAGGAGGACAACAGGGTGAGTGTTAACACCAGGATCTGCTTTTTAACACATTCATTATTTACTCTGTTAAACTGGATGTCAGCACATCAGCGTCCTAGAGTCCAATGAGACTTCTGCAAGCGTTGTAAATAGCGTTGCTACATTTCTTTGCCGATGTTAAGAATAACAATGTTGCCAATGCCAATGTTTTAATATCATTTTTGTTCCACTGTTGTTATTCCACTTTTCTGCCAGGAAAAACAAAAAATGTTTCTCGTATAATGGTTTCAGTTTCAAAGGGCTGAGCAAGTTTGTTATATAACATCATACGCTGTTTAGAAGGTACACAAGCTCTGCCCGCTGTGAGGGGACCGGTGAGCGGAGCCAAAACACACGTTTAGAGTTAGACATATCACACTAGCAATTATATCTACCTCTCAATCTACCATGTGTGTGTCTTCAGGGTTAATGGTATCTCTCTCAGACTGGAGAAGATGAGTGATTTAAACGATTGAGGAAGAGGACGGGTTTCCAGTCCCCAGCTGTCTGTCTTCTGAAGAGTGACCGGTCTATAAGGGAACCTTCGGAAGTTCAGTAATGAACCTGGACCTTCAGACACAAAGTAAGAGTCTGTTTCTACTGTAAACTGACCTGAAGAGGATTCCGTTTTTATGTTAACTGGTGATCTAAACTTCTTTTTAATGATCTCAGGAAAGAAACTCAGAGTACAGTAACAAAGTGTAATTGAACCTGTTGCTCCCTGGCATCATCAGAGATGGTAAATGATCTACGAGTGAAATCTTTATCACACTCTACATCAGGGGTCAGCAACCTTTTTGATATGAAGGAACAAATATGTGATCAGTTTGCCAAAATCCACATTATCATTAATTGCAATTATGACATCACATCAACATTTCCAACGGATCTGTAATTTTATTACATCAAAGTGCATAGCAACATTTAAAAGGAAGCAGCCATCCTTATGAAAACATTCACATCTGAGTTGAAATCACTAATCACCAATGAGGATTAAGCACCAATCTTCAGCAATACACTACAGCAAATGTCACAACGGGTGAATTAAATGTAACAAACAGAAACATGAGCACCAAGTATGCTCCCATGTCCCATCCATATGAAAACATCCACATCCGATTTATCATACAACAGGCAGGCTTTTTTTTTTTTTTTTAATATTTGAAGTTAAAGCATCAATCTGGTGCACTTTGAGAGCAAAATTAATAGATCTATGGAAGTGGTTCTCAAACTGTGGTCCGCGGAGGTAGCTACTGCAGTGGTCCGTGGAAAAAGCTAAATAAAATCCGCTTTTTATTATCAAGGATTTTCAAATATATTTGAATAGTCTAATACATATAAAACCATTGCCAGTGTTATCAGTTGCAAGTGTGTATTTGTTGCAATAATGATGAAAACAGCCTGTGTGTGAGGGGCAGCGCCGTGTTTGTGTGTGTGTGTGGGAGAGAGCATACTCTATATCAGTGGTTCCCAAACGGTGTGCCGTGAGGCAAGTCCGGGTGTGCCGTGGGATTTTGTGACAACCATACGTTATTATTGCAATATACAACTACACAAAAATAATAATTTAATTTTTAATTTACTATATCAGTACTTTGCAGGTTTATATGTAGCCTACGTAATCTGCGCAATTTGCGCGTCCACATCTCCACGTGCAGTGCTGCATAAACATTGCTGAGTCAGCGATAACTCTCGAGGGGTGGAGGTATGCCCATTATTTTGAGTTCGTCCGAAGAATAGACAGGAATGTGACGGTGAGGTGCAAACTGTGTCCAGGCCAGAAGCTGTTATCCACTGCTGTAAACACCACGTCAAACCTCAACAAACACCTGCAAAGAACACATGCTAAGGTGAAGCTACCGCACAAGCTATTTGTTGTTTGTTTATATCACGCAGTCTGTTCTTCTTCTCTATCTTCCGGTTGTTGCCTGTTTTTAATGACAAATACACACTATTGCCGCCTGCTGGTAAGGAAAGTTATTGCCACTCACGCATGCGCAGTTCGTACGTGCTCGAGTAAAGTAACGAGTAAAGTAACGAGTAACAGTATTACTTTTTTTTAAAGTAATATGTAATATATTATTTTTTTTTAGTAACGACCCCATCTCTGGAGTTGGCGTTCTCTACTCTGGTTTACATGAAGAACAACAGGAGGTCACGGCTCTCTGTTGAACAGGACTTGCGAGTGGCCCTCTCCTCAGTGCCACCAAGGATTACAAAAATCTGCGCGCCCCGACAGGCACATGTATCTCACTAATTTGTAAATCGGCAAAAATATTTACAATAGCACATGTTTCAATGCTGATTGCTGAAATGTTACATTTATAATTTGTAGTTCAGGACCATGGACAA